TTAAAGAACCAACCTGTGAAAATTTTCTTTTTTATTTGCCTGTGATTAATTCTGAATTTAAAGTCGAAATTTCAAGATTAAAGTCGTAATTGCGACTTTAGTCTTAAAATTTCAATTTTGAACTTTAAGTTTCTACTTTGACTCATAAAATTTAAAATGAAATCTCAAAAGTTAGATTTTTAAACTCGGAATTTCGACTTTGGCGTGTTTAAATTCAAAATTCCGAATTGAAAGTTGAAATTTTTAGATTAAAGTCGAAATCCCAAATTTTAATTTCAAACTTGAAATTTCCTGTTTAAACTCAAAAGTTCCAAGTTAAAAGTCAAAATTTCGGCTTCAAAGTCATTCTTCAAGATTATAGCCGTAATGGTCGTGTGCTCAATCTTCCGTCTTGCGATATGGCACAAACAGTAGATAGTAATCTAAGCACTTTTATCTCGCAGAGTGTAAGATGAAGGGTGGCAAGTCGAAAATGAGGAACAACTAAGTCATAGAAGTTTTATAGAAAAATACACGAAATAGGTGTTTAAGTTAACAAACTGAGTCATCAATTACAGTGCAACCTCTTTAATCCGAACACCTAATTATCAGACCTTGTTCGGATTATCGAATTGTTCGGATTAACGAATATACAATAAAACACATGTCACACATTTTTAGACCTTTAGATCTATGTATGTATATTGATTTTTGTACATTTAAATGCATTATCAACCTACATATGGGCGACGCGGGCCGCGCTGCAGGTCTTTTCCTGTCAGCATTCGGATTACATAGGCGGCGTTCGGACTATCTCGCATCACGATTTGCGTTCGGATTAGCGTAATTCGGATTATCGTGGGTTCGGATTATCGAGGTTTCACTGTATAGCAAATAATAAAGGGTTATATATTTTGTGAAAAAACTATTGGGATATGTCATTAAAAAAATCAAATTAAAATTAGTAATACATAGGGAGAAGGTAATAATATGAATTTATTAATTTACTAACTTTTTTCATAGAATTGGTGGACCGGCGATATTTCTTTAAAATTTTTACTTTAGTGCTAATTTTAAGGCAGGGAACTAACATACTTTTTACAAGTAAGCTCATCGTTATATAAGAAAATCAATCGCGGTCCTAATTTTTATTTCATTTAAATATAACTTAATAATGTAATCCAATTGATTGCAATCACTTTCCGTTTTACCTAATTAATTATCATCCTTGCATTGAATTCTGTAACAGTATTTTGTATCCTTAATAAATTAAAAACAAAACCAACGCATAAAAAGAAGATGTGGAAGATGTGTAATAAGAAGGTATAAAAATGTTTTTAATTAAATAACTAAAATTTTGATTTTAAACTGAATTTTGGCTGACTTTAAAATCGAAAATCGACATTAATATCGGATTTTCGATCACGATTAATCGAAATTTTAATGGGAAAATATCAATATTTTCCCACTTTAAACTCAAAATTCGACTTCCAACAACATTCTAACTTTAAAATCAAGACATTCCGAATTAAGTCAAAATTTTTCCGACTTTAAACTCAAAGTTTTGACTTCAAAGTCGAAATTTTAACTTTAAAGTTAGAATTTTGAAATTTTTCAGACTTTAAAATCAACATTCAAAATTTAAAATCGAGAAATACCAATTAACAATCGAAATTTTTCTGATTTTAAACTCAAAATTTTGATCAAAGTCCAAATTCGGAATTTAAAATCCAAATTCCGAGCTTAAAATGGAAATTTTTCCGATAACCTCAAAATTTTGACTTCAAACCCGAAATTCTAAATTTAAAATCGAAATATTGAGATTAAAGTCGTAATTTCAACTTTAACTTCGGAATTTTTACTTTGACTTTAAATTGGAAATTTCAACTTAAAAATCGGATTTGCGATCGCGTTTAAATCGGAATTTCTACTTTAATTGCGAAATCTCGAAACAAAATTCGATTTTAAACTCAAAAAGTCGATATTCCAAATTTTACATCGAGAAATTCCGATTAACAGTCGAAATTTTTCATACTTTAAACTCAAAATTTTGATTTCAAAGTCGAAATTCCGAATTTAAAACTGAAATATTAAGATTAAAGTCGAATTTCTAACTTTAAAGTAAAAATTTCGGGTTTAAAATCGAAATTTTTCTGATTTCAAATTAAAAATTTCGACGTCAAAGTCGAAATTCCAAATTAAAAATCGAAAATTTGAAAATAAAATAGGAAATTCGACTTTAACCTAGGAATTTTGACTTTGACTTTAAATTCGAAATTTCCATCACGCTTAAATCGGAATTTCAACTTAAATCGAGATATCGAAATTTTTTAAGACTTTAAAATTAACAAACAAAATTTTTCCGACTTAAAACTCAAAATTTTGGTCAGTCGAAATTCCGTTTTTAAAACTGAAATATTAAGATTAAAGTCGAATTTCTAACTTTAAAGTTAAAATTTCGAGTTTACAATCGAAATTTTTCCGATTTCAAACTAAAAATTTAGACGTCAAAATCGAAATTCCAAATTAAAAATCGAAAATTTGAGAATAAAATAGGAATTTCGACTTTAACCTAGGAATTTTAACTGACTTTAAATTCGAAATTTCCATCGCGCTTAAATCGGAATTTCAACTTAAATCGAGATATCAAAATTTTTAAGACTTTAAAATTAACAAACAAAAATTTTCCGACTTTAACCTCAATATTTCGACTTCAAACCCAAAATTCTAAATTTAAAATCGAAATATTGAGATTAAAGTCGGAATTTCGACTTTAACTTCGGAAATTTGACTTTGACTTTAATTATAAATTTTAACTTTAAAATCGGATGTTCGATCGCGTTTAAATCGGAATTTCTACTTTCGCGAAATCACGAAAAAATTTCGATTTCCAACTAAAAAAGTCGATATTCCAAATTTAACATCGAGAAATTCCGATTGACAGTCGAAATTTTTCCGATTTTAAACTAAAAATTTCGACTTCAAAGACGAAATTCCGAATTTAAAATCGAAATATTAAGATTAAAGTCGAATTTCTAACTTTAAAGTTAAAATTTCGAGTTTACAATCGAAATTTTTCCGATTTCAAACTAAAAATTTAGACGTCAAAATCGAAATTCCAAATTAAAAATCGAAAATTTGAGAATAAAATAGGAATTTCGACTTTAACCTAGGAATTTTAACTGACTTTAAATTCGAAATTTCCATCGCGCTTAAATCGGAATTTCAACTTAAATCGAGATATCAAAATTTTTAAGACTTTAAAATTAACAAACAAAAATTTTCCGACTTTAACCTCAATATTTCGACTTCAAACCCAAAATTCTAAATTTAAAATCGAAATATTGAGATTAAAGTCGGAATTTCGACTTTAACTTCGGAAATTTGACTTTGACTTTAATTATAAATTTTAACTTTAAAATCGGATGTTCGATCGCGTTTAAATCGGAATTTCTACTTTCGCGAAATCACGAAAAAATTTCGATTTCCAACTAAAAAAGTCGATATTCCAAATTTAACATCGAGAAATTCCGATTGACAGTCGAAATTTTTCCGATTTTAAACTAAAAATTTCGACTTCAAAGACGAAATTCCGAATTTAAAATCGAAATATTGAGATTAAAGTCGAAATTCCGACTTCAAAGTCAAACATCCGAGTTTAAAATCGAAATTTTTCCGATTTTAAGCTAAAAATTTCGACTTTAAAGTTGAAATTCCTAATTTAAAATCGAAAATTTGAGATTAAAGTGTTTCACTTTATTATCGAAATTTCTTCTTTAAAATTGGAATTTCTATCGCGTTTAAATCGAAATTTCATCTTTAATTGCGAAATCTCGAAATTCTTCCGACTTTAAACTAAAAAAATAGACTTCATTTAATATTCCAAATTTAAAATCGGGAAATTCCGAATTAACTATCGAAATTTTTCCGACTTTCAACTCAAACGACTTCAAAGTCGAAATTCCAAATTTAAAATCGATAGTCTGAGATTAAAGTCGGAATCTCGACTTCAACCAAGGAATTTTGACTTTAACTTAGTAAGTCAAACTTTCATGTTTTAATCGAAATTCTGATTTTAAATTCGGAATTTCGAATTTAATCTCCACATTAAAATCGGAATTTTTAAATTAAACGCGAAATTTCGACGTTTAAAGTCAAAGAAAAGAAATTCCGAGTTCACAGTAGAAATTTTTCCGACTTTAAACTAAACATTTCCCGAGTTGTAAAGTCGAAATCTGAATAATAACATGGTATATTACCTTCTACGCCTTCGTACGTAACAAAAATTGATAACAGAAAGAGTAAGAAAAAACCGATTTAAGATTTGGCAAAACCATGGAAAATATACGAAAACAAGCACAGAAAATAAGAACATGAAACCCAATTGTATAATTTCAAATATTTTGATTGTAGCAATTATATTTTTAAAACGTTCCGCTACATCTTCTTTTCGAATTATTTAAAGGTTACTAACAATTTTATTTAGTTAAATATCAACAATTTTTATTGTAGTCATAGAACCGGTCAAATTTCAAATTTTTAAACATCAAGAACATATTTTTTTTTGAATTCATTGATAAAAGAACCGATTTTTTTATCCAATTGTCAATAATTACTTTAAGAACTTTGTAACACATACGATCCGATAACATTTCATTAAATTTACAATCTAAAAATAAAAGTTCTTCGAAATTAGTCAACAGCAAGTCAAGCTTTTGGGTCCCATTCGAATTGGTAAAAAAAATGCATTACAAAACTAGATAAAAGATTAACAGGCATTTCATAATTTTCCTTTAAAATCTGATGAATATTTTCAGTTTTTAAGTTTGTAAAACTATCAAATGTCATAAGTCAATGACAATGTCACTATGGTTGCGTTAAGGTTTCTTGTAAAGTCAATTTTTCACCTTCGTTAAATAAAAAATAACTTTGTAAGAAAGAAAAAACATAAAAATAATTAAGAATTGGAATGGGACCCGGGTCGCTTATTAACACAACAACGTGGGAGTATTAAAAAAAATTCACTGAACCCAGGACGCGGGCACCCACAAAGGTTCGGTTTCCAACCGATTGGCGGCGCTGAGCAACTGGCTGAACGCCAACGCTAAATCATCGTTGACGATGGTCTCGTCAAAAAAATGATCGTAGAGGAATTCGATCCTAGCCGCTGCTTTCATTATATCATTAAATTCGTCTTCCTACAATTAAAATTACAGATTAAAATGTTTTCTACATCTATAACAAAATTTCTTGTTATACAAAGTTAATTGAACCCTCAATATAAATTAAATTTGAATATTTAGTACAGAAAATTGTAATAATTATTTAATGATATAAATTGAATTGACGTTGTTTGTAATTTGTATTAAAAATTCAAATTTAATTTATATTGATGATTTAATTATTAATTTTGCATGACAAGACATTAGTTTATCCCCTAAAATGCCCATCTAGCTTCGTTAAAATTCTTTAGCGTTTCAAAGCTACGTCTTTACATCGACTCTTCATTCATTTAGCTTACAAGCTAAAATTAAAGCGCACCTTTAACATTGCCGTGACGTTAATTGTAACTGAGCAACATCCGCTGCAACATTTAGAATTCCAACCCTATAAATGTTTGAATTCCATGTCAATGTTTGGAATAATACACAAAAGTAGATGAAGAAGACTAACACACTATAAGAAAGTATAAATTCGCTTTCATATTGTTTAACGATGATGAAAAATAAAAAAAACGCATTATTTGGTAAAACCTTAGAGAATATCATTCAAAAAACTAAAATTTTGAGATTTCCATAAGAAACTTAAGAATATAAGAAAAAAATGTATTATTAGGTAAAATCTGAAGGGTTATTAAAAAACTGCAATTTTGAAATTTCTATATTTTCTAAAATCTTAAAGAAAAAATAAAAAAAGTTAAAATATATATAAGAATCTATAAAAAAAGAAAAACGCATTAAAACCTTAAAGAATGTCGTTCAAAAAACTTCAATTTAGAAAACAATATTGATAAAAAACTTAAATTATGAGATTTCCATAAGAAACTTTAAAAAAAGGAAAACATTATTTAGCAAAATCTTGAAAATATCCATCAAAAAACTTAAATTTTGAGATTTCCATTAGAAATTCAAAAATAAGGAAAAAATGATTACTAGGTAAATCATTAAGGAATATCATTCAAAAAACTTCAATTTAGAAAAAAAAAAGAAAAAACGCATTAGCTAGGTCACACCTTAGAGAATATATTAAATTGGCATTATTTGGTAAAACCCTAAAGAACATTATTCAAAACAGGCAATTTTGAGATTTTCACAAGAAACAAGAAAAAACACATTATTTGGCAAAACCTTAAAGAATATCAAAAAATAAACTTCAATTATAACATTTCCATAAATAAAAAGAAAAAAAAAAGCAAAACATTATTTAGTAAAACTTTAGAGAATATATTAAAAGAAGGTATTATTTGGTAAAAGCTAAAACATTGTTTAAAAAACTTTAATTTTGAGATTTTTACAATAAACTTTCAAAAAAACGCATTGTTTGGTAAAACCTTAAAAAATATCAATATCCATAGAAAACATAAAAAAACTATTTGGCTAGATCTCATTCAAAAAACTTCCACTTTTGAGTTTTCCGTGGGAAACTTAAAAAAATATATGAAAAATCGAGTTGTGGTAAAACAAAGAATCGACGTTGCCGCGGTGAAACCTCCTACGTACATTTTATCAAAATTTTCAGAAGACAAAAAAAAACGTAACAATTTTGTTCTGATGCCTATTACGCACAAGGGAGGTTTCATTTTTGATCTAAAATCACAAGAGTTTAAAAGAAAATTACATTGGAGGTTTCGCTAAACTGTAGAGAATGATATTTTCTATGAAATGGCATAAAATCTTAAAATGTGATAAAATGTCAGATAGAAGGTTTCACCGCGGCAACGACGGAATATCGATCAAAAAACTGCAAATTTAAGATTTCCATAAGAAACTTAGATAAGAAAAACGCATTATTTGGTAAAACCTTAAAGAATATCTTTAAAAAACTTTAATTTCCTAAAGAAACTATTTAAAACTCTTAACATTTTATATGAAAAAGACAAAGGAGCAGATATAACTTTACTTTTTACATAGATGGCAAAATAATGCTAGTGAATACTCAGATCTTGGATTACCTTTTACTTTACCCACAAAAATAGTTGAGTTGTAACCAAAACAATATTATACTTTTGTAAAGAGATTTTGTGTTGTAGCATTATAAAAGGTAAGTAGGTAAATATTTCTAAGAATCACTTTAAAGAAAATGGTGATAAACAAAATTGTAATAAGAATTAGTAAGATTTACGTCATTTTTTAAGAGAAAACCGTTAAATTTACAAAAAATATATTTTCAAAATCAACTACTCATAAAAACTGTATAATAAACTAAAAATAAAAGCTCAATATTCTGCCGTTTAGAAAGAATCCTAAATAAATACTAAATAATTTCAATTTGTTATTATTCTAAAGAGTTGTTTTTTAAGATGTACCATTCTTTCTCCAAGTGACCGATATAAGAAAAAATCGCATTAGTTGTTAAAACCTTGGAAAATATTAAAAAAATAAAACAATATTGTGTTAAACCTTAGAAAAATATAAGAAAAAACACATTATTTCGAAAAACTAGAAGAATATATAAATAACGCATTATTTGGTAAAACCTTAGAAAACTTAAGAATAGACAATTCTTTTGATGAAAACATTTTCTATTTATTATGAAAAACCGTCGAAACCAACCTACTTAATTTAGTGTACACAAATAAAAATCAACTCACCGTAAACCCTCTGGAATTATTAATATCGAACGTAGACCGGGCGTGATAGGCATTCCTCGTCTCCTTGAGCACCTCTAAACTCGGAGGTTTGATGTAAATAATGTACGGCTTTAACTGCGGCACCCTCAGCATCTTCAGAGCCTGGTAATGCGGATTCAAAATGCATACTTTCCCCGCGTTGACGATGGCTTTAACGCTTTCCGCCGACGTCCCGTACAAATTACCTTTGTACTCGCCGAATTCTATGAACTTTCCCTTCTCGATGTCCTTCTCCATGTCCTCACGTTGCACGAAGAAGTACTCCTTGCCGTTCTCTTCGCCTGGCTTCATCGGTCGCGAGGTAACTGCGATAAAATCCGCTTTAATAGGTAAGAAAACTAGAACCCCCTATGTTTATTTTATAATATGATAAATCTTTTGTTTGCCCGACTATAAGCAGGAAACAATTTGGCTCCCAACGTGGGGCTTAAACTTCTTCAAAGAGCTTAAAATCATAAAGCAAAGAATTATTGAGGGTATTGAACATAAAGGTATCTAAAGAGACAATTATATTGAGTATTAGGTTGTATAATAAAAATAAAACTTACACGGAGTAGGAGTCTTGTACTTCTTGGTATTAGTATCGATCAGCCTCCTCTTCAATTCGTTGCGTCCTATTCCTGGGGCACCGATCAGCACCAGGGGCCTGAACATGCCCGGTCGTGGATATAACTTGGCCACCTCTTCGTAGGTAGCGATTTGTTCGCGATCAAAATCGTCGTTTTCCGCTATATCATAGATAATCTTTTTAGTTTTAGGCTTTGATGCGCAATGAGGTGATTTAGGTCGGCAGGTTATAGCAGGCAAAGCTGAAACAGAGCAAAGCCCTACGGCCGCCGAAACGTCGATGGTTAGTTATGAATGTGGATGATTGAACGTGCATGGTGGGTTGTGGTTCAGATAGATTACGGATTTATTTTAGTCGGTCGTAAGGGATTTCATGCAGGGATTTCACACATTTGGAAAATCATGGCAAATATAGGAAAAAACGCATTATTTGGTAAAATCTTACAGAATCTAATAGCTCCTAATTATTTGGTAAGACCGTTGGAGCATATAAGAAAAAACGCATTATTTGTTAAAACCATTAAAAATGAAAGAAAACAGCTTAATAATTATTGGTTATTTAAATTAAAACGTTTTTATTTATAATAAAGAACCATCTAAACGAATTTACCTAAGTTACAAAAATCCGCAGACCCTCTGGAATTATTATTGTTTAACGTAGGCACCTGGTAAACTAAGGTTGTAAAATAGACCTTCAATATACACCTTCTTAACATCTGGTTGTGATAACTGAAGAACTACACATGCAGCTTCTACAGAAACTATTCTAAACCTTCCAGATCTAGTCTTAAAAGCCTACTGGTTAAATATAATTTCTCAAAGTTAATTATAACTGAAATAAAGTAAAACCAAATATACTCGAACACTTCGGATGAGACTGCATAAAATTCCTTACGCCGCATGTTTATATGGCTAAAAAGCAAATGCTTCAATTTTGTTGATGTTCATTTTGAAGCAACATTTGTATTAATTATGCTAAAAAGAACAAAACGTGATAACATTTTGCGCCACTTTAGTGTCATTTAGTACTGATTTGTTTATACACGTCGAATAGGACCAAAAAAATAACGTACACACAAGAAGTAAAAGAGACTCTACCCTGAAGCCCTGAGGAACACCATGTATTTTAGTTTTGTATAATTATTTCTGAGTTGAAATGTTTTTCAACAGTTCACATTGAACAAATACAAACTATTAAGAATGAATATTAATATTGATTATTAATATTGAATATTAATATTAAATATTAATATTAAATATTAATATTAAATATTAATATTAAATATTAATATTAAATATTAATATTAAATATTAATATTAAATATTAATATTAAATATTAATATTAAATATTAATATTAAATATTAATATTAAATATTAATATTAAATATTAATATTAAATATTAATATTAAATATTAATATTAAATATTAATATTAAATATTAATATTAAATATTAATATTAAATATTAATATTAAATATTAATATTGAATATTAATATTGAATATTAATATTGAATATTAATATTGAATATTAATATTGAATATTAATATTGAATATTAATATTGAATATTAATATTGAATATTAATATTGAATATTAATATTGAATATTAATATTGAATATTAATATTGAATATTAATATTGAATATTAATATTGAATATTAATATTGAATATTAATATTGAATATTAATATTGAATATTAATATTGAATATTAATATTGAATATTAATATTGAATATTAATATTGAATATTAATATTGAATATTAATATTGAATATTAATATTGAATATTAATATTGAATATTAATATTGAATATTAATATTTCAATTGAATATTGAATATTAATATTGAATATTAATATTGAATATTAATATTGAATATTAATATTGAATATTAATATTGAATATTAATATTGAATATTAATATTGAATATTAATATTGAATATTAATATTGAATATTAATATTCAATATTAATATTGAATATTAATATTGAATATTAGTATTGAATATTAATATTGAATATTAATATTTCAATTGAATATTGAATATTAATATTGAATATTAATATTGAATATTAATATTGAATATTAATATTGAATATTAATATTGAATATTAATATTGAATATTAATATTGAATATTAATATTGAATATTAATATTGAATATTAATATTGAATATTAATATTGAATATTAATATTGAATATTAGTATTGAATATTAATATTGAATATTAATATTGAATATTAATATTGAATATTAATATTGAATATTAATATTGAATATTAATATTGAATATTAATATTGAATATTAATATTGAATATTAATATTGAATATTAATATTGAATATTAATATTGAATATTAATATTGAATATTAATATTGAATATTAATATTGAATATTAATATTGAATATTAATATTGAATATTAATATTGAATATTAATATTGAATATTAATATTGAATATTAATATTGAATATTAATATTGAATATTAAGATTAAATACTAAGATTGGGTATTGAGATTAAGTATTGAAATTGAGTATTGAGATTAAGTATCAAGACTTATTATTAAGATTGAATATTAGGAGCGAGTACTAAGATTGAATATTTCATAATAATTTATGAATGAAACATGATTTTTGCGAAATATGAATGAATGATTATTCAGACTAAACAACGAAAAGCAGCAGTAAGCCGAGCAAAGAAGCCATAACACCATCTAGTTTCTATAAATGACTTACCATCTTCACCTTTTTTATTAGTTTGCGTCCTATCGTGAATGATTCTTCGTTCTTGAAGGGCTCGACTCGGTATGAGGCCGGCGCGCATGTTTCTATCCCCCTCTTTTCTAGCCTGCCACCTGCATTTAAAGGATAAATCGTACACCAAGTCATAAAACTGGATATTAGGAAATAAAATCGGAGAACATCAGTAATGAATATGGGAGGCTATGGTGGAACAAATCTGGATAATATCGAGGGACATAACAGAAGGGCATCATGATTAAAAATCAGGAAGGACACCAAGGTTACGAAAGTTTCTTACCAATAAGCGTCGTCTTGCGAAACTATGTGAAGGACGTCTCCTTTCCTGAAATCCAGTCCGGCTTCTTTGCAAGGAATATAAGGATCGACGGAAGAATCGTAGTCGAAATGCGCTCTAACTCTAACTTTGCTTTCCCTCGCACCGCCCTTACCGTCGGCCGGTACCAATTTGAAGGTTATCGTTCCTTCGGAGTTTTGCTAAAAAATTTACGAAAATTAGAAACTTCATCTGATGTAGAAGACTGTGACAATTTATCAAAATAACACATTATTTGGTAAAACCATAAGGAATATAAGAAAACAAAAATTATGTGGTAAAACCTTAGAGAATATGAGGAAAAAATCGAATTATTTGGTAAAACCTGAGAATATAGTTAAGGTATTTTAAAAATAAAACAGCCCAAGAGTGGAACCTCGCAGTACTCATAAAATATTTTAGATTTAATTAAAACTTATTACCAAAATTTGTAAAACGTCATTGGGTGTTTTTCCTTCTACGTTCGTGTTATTAACTTCCACAACTTCGTCCCCAGGATGGATCAAACCCGATCTGTCAGCAGCGCCGCCATGCATTACTCTGGCTATTACAATCTTCCCTGTGGATTCGTCCGTCTTTATAGTGGCTCCCTATACGGAAGTTTTTGGAATTAATCGCACGATTACGAAGATTTTTAAAAGGGTTTACAAAATATAGAAAGATAGAAGGAAATTGCTCTATACGATCAGCAGAAAAAATATTGACGGTTGTAAGATACATAGAATACGTATTTCTAAGAGTTTAGGATATAATAAAAAGGATGATCAGATAAAAACAAACCGGGAACTGCGCCAACATATGAGACAAAACATCGGATCCATCAAGTTTTTATTAAAGAGTGACTTATTTATTTTATATCCTCAAATATATTAATTTTATAGATTAAGTATTAGTAAAAATTAGGCTTAGCTTAACGTCCTGATATCGTCAGGATTTCTTTGTCCGTTAAACTGTAATCCAATTTTGATTTCTTTTTGATGTACTGGGTTCAGGTATTCAGAGACGTGCAATATTGTTAGTTTTATTTTTTCCTCGAAAACAAAGATTCGAAAAAATTTAAGATACAAAAAGTTGTATTTTTTGTTGAAAAATTCAAAAAAATCTATTGGGCAATATTTTTTTGCTGAAAACTAATCGAAGTGCCTCTGGAATAACTGAATCAACTGTAACATGTCCGAAAGACACCCTATAAAGTTGTTAATAAACTGAAAATTTCATTAAAATCGCTGATTTTAAAAAACTACATCTAAAAGGACAAAAATGGATCATGTTGTATTTTTCGATAAACTATTGACTGGTAAAATCTGGACGATATGAACCGGATCACCCTGTATATATGCGTAATATGTATATTTCACCAAACAACTAAGTTGATGAATAATACTATTTGTTATATTCTATGGAGACATTAGATTTTTACATGATTGTAAATTTAAAATAAGATGATTATAACATATCTGACTATGTATCTCATATTTAGTAAAACCACGAAGAATATTAAAAAAAAACGCAATATGTGACAAAACCTTAGACTATAAGAAAACGAAGAGCATTATTAGGCAAAACCTTAATAAATATAAGAAAAATAAAAACGCATTATTTGGCAAAACTTTAGAGAATATGGGAAAAATTGCATTATTTGGCAAAACCTTAAAGAATATAGGAAAAAATGTAGTATTTTATTGATTGTAAATTTATGTTAGGCGATTTTAACCTATCCGATTATGTATTTAAAATTCAAACACCCCTCTAAAGTAAATTTTGCTGTCACTCTAGATTTGATTCAACATAACTTTGTATTCATTACAAAAGGCTCTTAAACTTGATGTATTGTAAATATTTCTGTTTGGTTGAAAAATTTGTAGAATCTTCGGTAGGGGGGATAAACATACGGCTTTAGAAATTACTTGTATATTAAACGAAAATCTTAAATCAATCTTCCTACAAGAATTGCTATACTTTTCGTTAAGCAAATTTTCAGCATTTGCGTGAAATGTTATAAACTGTAAATTGAGATTTTTTAAAAGTTTTTCTATGATGTTGACGATGCATGAAAACAACACAAAAGCAGACAATATTAAGAAACTATGAAACCTTTTTCATGTTATTTTTAACACATCATTTGGTAAAACCATTAACCTTTTTCATGTTATTTTTAACACATCATTTGGTAAAACCATGCGTCAATTGGTAAAACCTTAGAAAATACAAGAAAATATCTTAAGAATAGAATTCTTTAGTTTTAAATGTTTTTATTTATTATGAAGACCTAAAAATATATATGCAGCTATTGAAAATATTTGTTTTTATCCCAAAAGAATGCTCTAAAATCAATGGTGTGTCATAATTGGTACTTTCCCTTTTAATTGTATTGGTTAGATTGACGGGGTGAGGGATGGAGGAGAATAACATAACAGTTTATGTCACCGTTTAATAAAAAATAACGGATTCGAAAGTTCATTTGAAATGTTGACGCAGTTCCTAATAATGGCTATGGCAACCCTTTACATAGTACAGATAGTGCAGGTAAATTTGTGCAAAATAGGAAAAAAAAAAGGGTAAAATATTATGTTTATTACGTTTTGATACTTACAACAATCGGTTCGGCACTTTGTGCCCCCCCGGCCTTTGCACAAAAAAAGATAAAATTTTGAAATTCAAAAAATCATTCAAAAACAAAAATTTCAATCCAAAATTTTTATCAGTTATTTTACTTTCTTAAAATCGAATTATAAAACTATTTTATGCTTGCTTATTCTAATAATTTTTGGTTATACATTTTCAATTATTCAAAAAATTAAAGATCAATATTAAGAAATTAAAAAAATACAATTTTGATTATTTGCAAATGCCTCTTTTTATTAAATTTAAAATAAAATGTAAAATTTTATGTAAATTTAAAAAAACCGTTATTAAATTTTAATTACATAAAATTTTCTAATCTACTTAAAAATGTCAAATTGAAAATTATAGGCTATTTTTTTTAATATATATAGTCGTTTACAATTACAGTTTTCGGTTTAAAATAATTATATTGTAAATACTTACAAGTGGTTCATTACTTTTAACCAGTTGAACAATTTTAATAGTTTCTTCCTCTTCTTCAGTGTCTCGAGGTATTTCCGGTAGGTGGGGGTAATAGTCTTTTTGAGCTACGGAGTCGTGAGAATATAACAAGCCCTAAAATAAAAGATGATTTTATATGTACAATATTTTTTTTAATTTGCACGCCTATGGTTTGCGCCCATTCATTGTCATCGGTATAATTCAATGAGCATATTGATATGGCGATTAAAATTTTAATTTAAATTTGGTCCTAACTCCCCCATAAATTCGCCCAACAATATTTATTATAGGTTTGTTCCAACAGTTCCATTCTGATGTGTCTTTAACTCGTGCATGGATACATTCGTAAACTAATTACTGCACATGTCAGTCCGTTTATTCTTCCGATGTTTTATCAGCAACTTGTTCTTGTTGGAACGTAAAATGCAATGGAATTGGACAAACCCCAGATGTTTGGTGATTAGGTATTTTAAACATTATTTAAAATACAACATAATACATTTATTTAGTTGTCTGGAACGATCTATGTGAATGTGTAATGTTGAAACCTTAAGGTGTAAGAGTCACAAGGCGCTAGTATCGCTTTAAATTTTGACACGTCTGACATCGGCACGTTCATTGGTTGAAGACGAAGTTTTTGACAAACGAAACGTGAAGTGTCAGTATTGACAAGTGATAATTTTTTTATTTTTTTCTGCTGCGAAATTATACCATTTAATATTAATTTTGTTTCAGCGATATTTATTATGATTTGCGTTGTTGTATTAAGTGCTTACTTATTTAATATGGAAAGCAAACCGTACAAAATCTGAAAAAGAGGATTCAAGGAGGGATTCATATGGCTGTTATCCAATGGTCCCCGCCCTAGATAATACTTTTTCAGTGGGAAAAGCCTTTAAAATTCAAGTATAACAATTTTATGTTTCAGTTTTCCCTTCTTTTAATGTAGCTGAAAATTTTGACGTAAGTTTGTAATAATTTTTCATATTTTTCAGTTAATAATCTCTAAAATCATAATTTAACTAAGATCTTATGCTTTCCTATGGACACGATTCAAGGATGGAATCCTATGGCTGTCATCCAAGCCCTAGGTAATAGTTTTCAGTGACAACAGCCTTTCAAATTCAAGTATATTAATTTACTGTTTCAGTTTTTTTCCTTTTTAGAAGTAGGTGTCAATTTAAACTACAAGTTTTTATTTCACTTGTTGATTTTAGCATCTATATACAGTATCGGCTATTGAACACTTTCCAACACGCTTTGCTAGCATCGAAGCGAAAACTAAAGAGTTAGCATTAGTGAGATCAGGATTTAATTTAATATAATTTCTTTTATTTTTCAGTAAAATGGATGTGGCTAGAGTACTTCTCGACTTTAAAATAAATTAAATAAGTTTTATAATTTTTCAAATAAAATATTTTACACAATTTTTTTTATCAGAGCCAATTTTCTTGTTAAAATCTAACCTCTATAGGTAAAAAAATAAGTGATTCAGATAAAACATGTTCTTTTAAATGTATTGTTAATCCAAACGCTGCTCTTATTGTAAAAGCTAACAATAAAAGAATTCGTATTATTTTTAGCTATAAAAAAAAATAGCGACTGGATTTACAGCTCATTTAATGGAACATGTAATTTAATTCTCAATTATTATTGCCGAATGAATATATTTAAAAATTCCCGCCATTCTGCTGCTGGAAATTTAAATTTGGCCTTAAAATTATATTTGAATTTACCGCCCTATCGAGTTAGATGAACGGCCAGTCGCATTTAGCGCTGCAAACTTAGTGCCTTCCCTTTAACAAGTGAGATGCAGTACCTTCTTACTATAAGGGATATATTGTGCATTCATGTACGAATCAAAAAATGGTTGGAACGTTTTACTGACAGTTCATTAGATTATCCGTGGCTTTGTAGCAGCAGACTATTTTTAATGCGCATGCGTATATCAAAGTGGGGCTATCAAACTGATATTTATTATTATGAATGTACATACCTGAATATGTGGCTTCTGTAACAAATAAAACAGCTCCTTGCCGTCTTCAGACATATGTGGCCTATGCACCAACTCTTCAAGAACATCCGCCAAGATGTCCATGGAGGTGGAAAGCATCGGGAAGAATTTGTCGCTGGCGCCATTACTAATTATCTTGTTATGAACGTTCACTAAAGCGTGCAATTCTTTCGATTGGAGTAATGTACTGAGAAATCCTAATTCTTCTTCGGTTGAAGGCAAATTGGAGGCTTGTTGGAGGGACGAAAGTAGACGAGTCAATGCTGGAAAAGTTAATTTACTTTAAACGCTCATGGTTTTAATCCAAGATGACTCTGAAATTGGAATCAGTAAAATTTTCTTTGTCGCGAGTTTATTTTTCCTACATTTCTGCGTGCACCCAATTAAATTTACCAGTTTCTAATTTGTCTATGAATATTTAGTAAAAAATAAGGATGCGTTCCAAAATAGCTTGGGAATTCAGGGTTAATTATACCTGCACAGAGTATAGTCCAAAATTGACCAGTCTTATCTTCAAAATAAATTATATAACGAATTATTAAAATATTTCTATTTTACAAACGAAAGCAGATCAACTAAGTCTCGGCGAAATGGCGCTACCTGTCAGTTTTAAGTATTGAAACTTGGATAAGTGGTTTGCGACTAGGTTAAGCGATCCAAGATGGCGTCCATCGTTGACATGAACAAATATAGGTAAACGAAAGAAAACAAATAGACTAAGATCCGAAATAAGATCGACCTTCACCCATCTCTTTAATGGATGAAAGTTTCTTTTTATTAAAAAAAATATGTTTATAAATATACCACAAAAGGGTTGCCGAAGAAAATACGGTCCAACTATTTATTTTCTTAAAATAAAAAAAAAACGACACCCTGTAAAGTATTCCCCAGATGCTTCGACTATGCCCAAACTTTAATCAGCTCACCGCAGAATAGATTAAAGCTTAAGTTTAAAATTTGGTGTTTTTTTCTTTATCCGTTTCTGAGTTGTCTTCAAAATTCGAAATTTGCACATTTCCTCAAATATCTCGAATTAGGTTCATTTTAGGGAAATCATGTATAGGAACAAAATAATAGAGAATGACATCATAAGCAACTTGAATCATGATTTTCTATACTTTCTCTCTGTACACAGAAAGGAAAGCAAAACATGGCCGTGACCGTATTTTATTAGGCAACCCATTTGCGGTGTTTTTAAAACATATTTTATCTAATAAAAAAAACTTTTATCCATTAAACAGATGGGTGAAGGTCGACCTTATTTATGGATCCTGGACTAAAAGACAGAAGGGCATTTTAATATCTCGGCTATTATTGATCAGATTTGTATGAAATAAACGACATTATGAAGGGGGCGGGACATAGTTTGACGTTAAAGAGAAAAAGCATTCACAGTGCCAATGTCATTAGTCAATATCCGTTGTTATTGGTTCGATTTGCACAGAACAAACGTCATTGCATTGCCAAAGCTTATATTTCCGTTATTATTCATTAGCAGATAGTTTTTATATTAACGCTTCATTAATTATGCAGAAAGAAAACAAACGAATCATAAGGATTGTAGATCTAATGTAAAATTGTAAAGAGAATAAGAGTATATTGTTATAGATGCCTTAAGCACAGTTTATTGCTAAAGAATCAGTTAGCTCACTTGGACCAGTTGGATGTTCCAAAATAACATCCACTCCAGGGTTACAAATTCAGGATGCGCAAAAGAATGCTGTTTGAATATTGGCGGTTGTCGTATAATGTATTGGTTATGATTTGATTCTGTATGCGCCAGGGATACAAATCCGAGTTGCGCAGTGTATAAACTGGAACATTAAGATCAAAAGTGCCGACGCAGAGTGAGCGAACTGATTCTTTAGCTATAAACTGTGCCTTAAATAATCTTTTTAAGTTGCTATATACGAGCCCTAACAACTAAATGTTCGGACAAACAAAAATTTATTGAAAACGTTAATTTACACAAACTAAAAAACTACATTAACTGCCAGTAAAAATAACATCCAAGTTATTCAACGTTTCCAGAATAAAGTATTAAGGAACATCGTCGATGCATCCTGGTACTGCCGTAATACTGATCTTCATATGGACCTTAAAGTGGAGACTGTTGAAAATACAATACAAAAATTTGCCAGTAGTCACCAACAACGACTGCTCCAACATGGAAACCTTGAGATTATCCAGCTCCTCAACAATGCCAGTCTAATAAGAAGACTCAAGAGAACCAGGCCTTTTGAATTAGTTCAGTGATGTTAGATTTTAAGTGTTATACGTTAATGGTAGTGTAACGAAATAATTAGACTATAAAGTACACTATATAGTGACTAGAATCTTAGTTTATGAAGTTTATCATCCCTAGATAAGTTAGGTAAAAATAAAATTGATAATTGATCTTAATGATTAGATTATAATAATCGTAAATGTTTCTTAACTTGGAGCATTTATTAAAACCAAAACCTAGTGCAAATTAGTGCATTTAAAGGAATTGGTGGAAATGAAGCAATTCACTTCTATATTTTATGAAATAATTTTTAAAACATATTTATTTATTTGTTTAAGAATCAATGTTTGAGTTTTGTGTATTTTAAATAAACATGTCTTTTTTTAGTCTAATATATTAGAAAAAAAAAACTAGAATACATTTCTGAAATATTTCTAATTTTTATTTCAGAACTATAGTTCTGTAATATATTACTGTGAAATATTATATTTAGAGGACATTTTTACGTTTCATGCATATTTCAGAAATGTTTCGTAATATTTATACAACATTGCAAATGTTTCAATGTAACATTATTGAAATATTTTCGAAATATGTTTTGAAGTTGGATTTTGAACTAAAAAACACGGTGTAGTGTGTGATTTTATTAATAATTTTATCCTTAGAGCTACGTACAAGGGCGGCTCCAGGGGGAACTATGGAGGCCATGCCCCCCCGAGATGAAAATTTTTACGATTTATGGGGCCTTTTAGTCAAAAAAATATGCTAAAAAGGGAATGGCTAAAGGCACTCGCGTATCGGGGACAACACTAATGATTTGTAATTGCTGTGGTGGGAGGTGTTTGTGTGAATGCGTCTTGTTTGTTTTCATTTACGCCGTGACTAGCAGTAGTATTTTATAAACCTTAGAAGCAAATTGCACATACATGAACATATAATAATAATAATGCCGTGACAACAAGAAGACGAAGCAACGACTTCTCGTAGGGTGGCCGCTTCGCCGCGACCAGAAAATTTCAATCCATACTTGACTACGCCGACCGGCATAAACACCAACGGCCTGGACACAGCTCACTTACTCTGTCAAAAGGAGACCGATGTACAAATAAAACGCATACGACATGCGCACCCCAAATCATTATTGTTGTCCCCGATACGCGAGTGCTAAAGGCAACCCCCTCCCCCCGAAAATTCGTCATGGAGCCGCCCTTGGTCACGTAAAAAGTAGAGTTGAGACATTTTTTGAAAGCACTAGAAGTAAAAGGTGAATAATAAAAAAGAACATTCAATGCAATTAAACACAAATCAACTCAATCACATAATACTGAACTCATCAGACAACCATGTTGTTTGAAATACCTAAAATGTGAACTGAAGAGTCTGAAAATCGCTTTCTGAATCACACAACAATCTACAGGCAGAGTTAGTCAGTAAGCCAGCTGAGGCTAGAAGGGGGATATGTAGATAGGCAACATACATTGTACATGGGTGTAATGTATGTTGCATATCAAGAAGTTGGTTTATTGATTTTTCCTATTTGCTTATCGACGGAAACGCGTAACTTTAAAGGCCTAAAAAAAGAGTATTTAGAGATCTTGCTATTTAATGGTTTATTTTTTGTTTGATACTAATGTATTGAATCACTCGCACTAATAAATTTATTTGGAATATTTTAAATATTGATTTTCGCTATTTTCAAAGTTCACAAAGTAATGTTTATCCGCGAATTGCGTTAATTTAAAGATCTAAAAACTATATTTAGAGGTCGTGCTATATAATTTTTTATCTGATTGATAGTGAGAGTATTGAATCATTAGCATAAAAATTGTATTTGTAATCTCGTGCTAAATTACCTTAATAATTTTCTGTTTGAATTTTTGTCAGACCAGATGGTATACCTGACATTTTCTTGAAAAATTGTATTTATAGTTTGGTTGAACCACTTTATATTCTTTTTAATTTGTCCTTAGAGCTTCCAGTATTCCCTGAAACTTGAAAACCTAGTTTTCTCTGGTTTCAGTATTCAAGGGTGGAAAAAAAAACATGATATCAAAACTATAGATGAGTTTGCAATCTGTCTGTTATACCAAAAGTGTTTGATACTTATTTATAATGATTTATTGTGGCAAAGTACAAATATATTTAATAACAAATATGGGTTCTTGGATGGAAAGTCCACAACTACTCAGTTTCGTATGAAGTTACTCTACTGGAGGCCTTGGAGAGTGGTGAACAAGTTCATGCTGTCTATACCGACGTCTTCAAGGCGTTTGACCAAGTTAATCATTAGAAAATCTTAATGAAGTCACAGGCAAATAGCCCTTAGTTCTGGTGTCCTATAAGGTGCATATTGTTTCCCCTTGCTCTTTAATGTATTTATTAATTATATAACATCTACAATTAAAACTTCTCTTGCCTTATGTTCGCTGATGATATGTTCTATTACAATTAGATTTAAATAATTTAGTATATTGGTGTCAGAGGAACAGGCTTTCTTTAAATACTAATAAATGTTCAGTTACAAGCTTCTAATGAACCCCCATGACTTTCTGAATACCAATTGCACAATGAGAAACTGGGTAGAATTTAAACAATTACAGATCTAGGGAGTGAATAGGTACTGATTCCACTCTTTCATTCAAGGAACACAATATAACTTCAAGGCTCTAAAGGATTAATCTGTATATAATGGTTAAGCACATTGTATTATTCACTGATTAGGTAAATTTTAGAATATTCTACCATTGTTTGCAATCCTCAATAGGGAACATATTTATCAAATAAAAAGGGCACATAAGAAATTTGTAAAGTACTGTTCTTTTAGATTGAATGTCCAGTATGTTTATTTGGAAAATTTAAAATTACTTATTCTAGGTCAATTGGCGAGAAGAAGATTTTATGTATAATGTAATTTACAACTGTAATAACATTCTGGATCAAATATATCTCAGTTTCTTCTAAGAGCAAATGATTCATTTTTATTCCTACACATTTTACAACTATGGCAAACACTCAAGTATTACCAAAACTATAAAAACATTGATGTTTTCAATGACTCCTACAATAAATTTAGACATAAAACCTCGCATAAAACAATTATAATTTTTTTCTACCCTCACTAGTTCTGTTGTTTTATGTTGTGAGATTTATATATATAAAAAATAAAATTTAATATATACATGCAGTTTACTTTTTTTTTAAAAATGGTGGATGAAACCAAAATGCCAGACTATTCTAGTAATCCATAATTATTTTATCCACTATTGTTACATGATTACATTATTATTATATTTTAACTTACAGCTATCAAAATACTTGAGTTTGTAATGAATTATATAAATATCCTTCTTCTTTTTTAATTATACGTATTTTTGTTAATTTTGCTTTTATTTTTTTTGTTATCATTTTTTGTTTTTAATTATTTTTTGCTTAATCATTTACTTTATTTTTTCGTTTCAGGTTTAATATATTTTATATATTTAAGAATGTACTGGGGTTTTCCAGTCAATATGTCATCTGTAATTATTAATATGATTTATAATGTTTCTTTGGATTATTGTTTTTGTTCATTGAGATACACATACAGTAAGTTTTTTCTAAGTTTAGGAAAAGCCTACTGTAATTTAGCCAACATTTTACTGTGCTTATACAAGATCCGAAGTAAGGTCCACCTTTACCCATCTGTTTAAGGGATGAAAGCTTTTTTGTTGAAGAAAATATTTTTATAAATATACGGCAAGTGGGTTGCCTAAGAAAATACTGTCACAGCTATTGTTTTACTTTCCTTTCTGTATTCAGATTAGGAAAGTATAGGAATCATGTGATGTCATTCTCTATAGAAAATCATAATTTTGGTCCTATGCATGATTTCCCTAAAATGGGCCATATTCTAGATATTTGAGGAAAATTACAACTCAAGAAAGGAAAAAGAGAAAAACACCAAATTTTAAACTTTAATCCATTCTGCAGTAAGCTGATTTCATTTTGGGCATAGTGGATGCATCTGGGAAATACTTTATACTGTCGTTTTTTTACTTTAAGGAAATAAATAGTCTTGACAGTACTTTCTTATGCAACCCATTTGCGGTATATTTATAAACATATTTTATTTAATAAAAAAAACTTTCATGCTTTAAACAGATGGGTAATTTATCAGCTTTGCTAAAGGCATCTTCCAAAGAAATTCTTAAAATTTGCAAATTAGACAGGAAAAAAGAAGAGGCCCAAGCACTGTTTTCTGTGGCACACTAAATTCTACAAGTCATAAATTACTAAGGGTATTTCCAATTAGAACTTGATGTCGATTACTCAAAATACATTCAAGATGAAATGTAGAAAAGCTGGGTATATTTGGGATGGTGGTAGCAATTTTGGTATATGCTTTACTTGTTGCTAACATTAATAAATAATAAAGTTTTTGTGGGTATTAATAGGAAAATGTATTGTCATGCAAGTTATTTAGCTAATAAAAAAAAAAACAAAATACAAACAATGCCAAAAAAATATTTATTCATTTATTAAAGAAAAAACCAAGACAAAAATAACAAGTATAACTAGATAATAAAAAAATTATTGATATGTGAATAATCTTCTTCGATGATAAATCTGATAAATCTTTTGAAAGGGGTTAGTTATCTAATAAGAAAGTTAAAACTATTTATAGAACATAAATTGCTATAATTATCAAAGAAAGGTTAATAAATATCCTTATCTCCGATTTATCTAGTATTTTCTTTACAAAATATTATGGATTTAGAACCGTATATTATTCACGCACCAAAAGAAAATAAAAACAACAAATCCAACAATAAACGCCAATTGCTCACCTGGATCCCATCTCTCTTTAGTACCATTGGCCATTACCTCAGAAATCACTCTAGAACACCACAAATAACCAAATTATGATTATTAAAACCTACACTATTCATACATAATCTAATTATAGAACGAACTGAGGTTATTACACCCTTTCAAAATCAATTCGAATTCATTCAAATACCCGTTCATTGACATGAAATCAAACACACGTTCGCTAAACTGGACAATTCTTAAATCTAAATACATTTTTTTAATTTTAATAAATATGAAACGTTTAGTCAGCAATTATTGAAATCCTATATCCACTCTGAGCTTTAATCAATTAAATACATAAATAGAAATGCAACGTGCAGTTGCAATCCGATTAAAACTTACCTGTCGGGAATTTTAGCTACGTCTATACCATAACTTATAACTTGGACATCTGATAGTTATTTTGATGTTTAATCAGCTAGTAGTTCGGCATTTTCAATAATTTTTATTTAAAATTGTAATAACTCTTTGACAAATATGGCGTTGCTGATGGACATTGACATTTGACAACAACCTGAGACGAATGAATTGTAATCGATCCGATGAATTCAAATGAATCGATGATTCGATTGCAAGAAAGTAAATCGTAAATTTGAAGTTCCAATCGAGAATATATTTTTCGTTCTCGCATAATGTTATGTTAAAATATGTTCTTATAGAATACAAATTTTTATTTATATTATTGTATTATTTCCATTTATAATCGGTAAATTATGTATGTGATTCAGGGGTCTATTCTGTAACAATTCCTTTATATTTAACGGCCTTTAAAACTATTGGCGACCTTTAAAAATATGTTTGTATTCGTTATTTACAGAATAGACCCATAGATATGAATAGACCCCTAAAAGTGGAACGGCATAGAGATATGCAACCAAGTTATCACTATGATGTATTTCTGGTTGCATATGTACTAGTATAACCCATTTGATAATGATCTAAAGGAACAGGTGTTTCCATTTTCCAGTGACGTACTGTCATAGAATAATCGACCTCTTATTTAACACATTATGTAAATCTACGGAATTGTCTCATTTTAACGAATGGTTAATTTCTTGCGAAGACGAGTAAAATGTATTTTTTGTATAAATTAGCTTTTAAAACGTGAAAAATTTGACTCTAAAAATGTGTGTAGGTATGGTACATATTTTTTGGGTAAATTAAAGGGATTTTATCAAATTATCGACATTTCTTTACTCCTTTATTATATTTATTTATTAATTTTAAATTGAAAAAATTTCGGAAATAGATATTACTTTTTAAAAGGTCTCTACGCTTACCAAATACGGACGCGCGATATGCCATCTGTATAAGATTTGTGAGCAAATAAATCGCGGATGAATTCTTCATAAGGGCAGAGAACAGAATTTTAGATCAACTTGAAGGTAATTTTAACAGAAAAGTCAGGGGTTTTCATAAATATTTCGACAATCGCTTGAGCTAGTAACCCATACAATACAAATAGGTCCACTGGACATACAAATGGATGTCTAGACGACCAAAAATGTGTTTTTTCTGGACTTCTGACATCCAATGGACGTTCAATGAAGTAGAAGTATTAGATTAAATTAGATTAGACGTTGTTTGTCCTTGCCCACCGCGACCTTTTTTCAGATCTATTGTGGGACTCCGTTTGTTTTAGAGTATGTCGTCTAGCTTGATCTTTTTTATTTGACTTAGTAGCTTTGACAGGGGCTCCCGCATGTAGTTGCATGCGTTTAACTTTTCTGCGCCCAATGTTAGAAACCTCATTTTAGCTAGGCCTTCACATTTGCACATGACGTGGACTGATGTTTCATCTTCTTCTTCACAGAACCTGCACAAAGTTGCTTTTTCTGCTGGGTTGGTAACACTCATGTGCTTTCTAAGGCGACAGTGTCCAGTAAGAAGAACTGTTGTTATCCTAACGATTTGACGCTTTTGATCTAGTAGGTCTTTCGTGAACTTAGCCGATGGTTCCTTAATGAACTTTTTGGCCTGTCTCAGTCTTGGATGGTTTTCCACCATTCCTGATATACTCTTTTTGCATCCATTGTTTGATGGATGCCTTGCCTTATAGCAACTCAACAGAAGGGTTAGGGGCCTGTCATGGCCTTATCTGAGCCTTCCCGGGCTAATTCGTCGACCTTTTCGTTGCCCTGATATCCCTCATGGCCTGGCACCCAGGCTAGGGTCACCTAATAATGCCTTTAGAGCTGCTTGACTATCAGAGTTTAAATAGCAATAGTTTTGCCTGATACTTGCTGATTTATTATTTCTTTTGCAGTGTTTTATGGCTATTAGTTCAGCCTGTAACATTCTTTCTGTTTCAGCGCTGAAATTTTTTTTCTTGGGAACTGGAAGGAATTAAAATTTTAAAATATATGCATACCTATTCTAGATATTATTGCCTAATTTATTTTCCCAAAATTTTAATTTAAAAAAAATGCTTTTTAAGATATGTTTGTCCGAAGATTATAAGGGGTGTTGTAATCACCTTAAGCCGACCCCATACATTTTGGAATATTAACTAAACTTTTCTGTTTTTTAAAATAAATGATCTCTGCTTAGAAAAGATGTTAAAAAAAATTGATAGGATCCAACTATACAAGGTGCTATTAAATTTTATTCGCACCTTTAAAACAAAAGTGACACCTACTATACAAAAAGTCCGTTTAAATTCCTTTTTTTTTATTAATATCTTATTTTTTACCTTAGTGGCGCGAGTAGCAGGTATTTTAACAGTAAACATCGTGGGTCAAATTAATATTAAAAGTGCTCTCCTGTTAATGGATAATTTTTGTATAGTGTCACTTTTGTATTAAAAGTACCATATTAACAATTATTGAAAATCTAGAAACTTATATGTATAGTAATATTTGTCCGTTTGTAACAGAATGTAAAAGATAATTTATATATTTACCTAAGACACTGAAAATTGTTGGAAAAACGGCTTATATGCACATGTAGTCCGTACAGTCACTAAATTTGACAATAAAATACACTAACACTTGCACAAATGTCTATTTTATAACAAAAACTAACAATTTATCCGTAAATATAAAATAATGGACCGTTTCAGTCAAATATTCGAACAAAAATGAAGTATGATACACATTTTATCTATCTAAATTAGTAATGAATTTTTGTGTGACTAATAATACCAACTTAACATAAATTCAAAATATCACACATAGTACATTTTTAACGAAAATAACATACGTTCTACAAACTGAAAATAATAGGGGTTTCAATTACTTATTTAATTTAATCTAAGCCCGATAAAATATAAATTTTCAAAATTTAATTATCCCAATTATACTTTTTTAAATAATATCTTTGTCCATGCTTAAAATATTTACCATTCCTTATAGTCCAGTAACTGAAGGGTCAAACCTGTAGAAAATTCGCTAATGAGTTCCCACATAGCGCAATTTGTAGGTCATCGCAGGTGTTTTTAAACGAGAAAATCCTTAACGCGTTCTTGGTACCGGAAGGGGCTGAAAATGGACCCCTAAAACCTGGAAAATAGGTTTCCTGCTAATATCTGACTGAATATGCCAATTAGAAAATTTTTGTATAGACAAAAAATGAAGATCAGCTCATTATCTACAAAAATGGTTCTTATCATTTTCTTCAAAAATTCAATAGTTTTCGAGATAATGGCACTCAAAAGTCCCCTCATTTTAGCTGCTGCTCTACCTGCAGGAATTCCGCTTTCTATGATTTAACGTGTAAGCGGGCGGACGAATTGTTCCATATCTCGGGAAAAAATTGATATTTGTCTATGATTCAAAGTTTATCGCAATGGGAAAACCCGTAGCTACAATTCCATGTGACTTGAAGTCAGTTTGTATTTGCCAAAAATATTTAAAAAAGCGGTCAAAGTTTTTTTCAACAAAATTTAGAGACTGCTTCATTAATTTATTCATATTTTCTTTAAAAATAGTCATTTATTCTAATTTTAATTTTATAATGGGACCTTGGGAGGTCCTGAATGATCTCAGAAATTTTTTTGTAATACTTTTCTTGCGTTTTAATACAAAATTGATTTGTTTATTTACATGTTTTAGCCGATTTCGGAGTTCCATAGAATCTTCGGAACAAGCGCGAATTATATCTAATCTTATGATCTGTTATATTGATTTCCAATGCACATCATTTTAAAACTTAGATGGTCTACTTTTCGAATATATTTTTTTATTTTTAGTAGAGTCTAATAATTTTCAAGAAATGGGGAAAATTGATCACACGAGTGAAAACCGGCCTTTTTTTGTTTAACCATTTCTTGTTCCCTGCTCTTTATGTTTTGAGGATTAATAATTAGATCAAAGTAAAGCTTGTATTCTGACCTTTCTATTGATATAAGTCAATCCCCATATCCGTTCTTGGTTCTAAAAAGGTTGTTACAACTATATACTTCATTTTTACGCTCCCCCTCTGAGATCCATGATATTGTATATAACCTAACCTCGTGTACCCACGCGGCGATAATAATTGTCTGCATGTGTTTTGTATACAATCTCTGTTTTGGAGTCGTCGGCTTGACCGGATTATTGATGCACTGATGATATTTTTTCATTATTTATATTGAATTATTTATTTACAATAAAATACATATTTTTCATTAAATTATTTCAGTTATAAAAAAAAGAAGAAGTGTTTAAAGTGAGAAATGTCCACGTCATTCTTGTCTACAAGAAAGAATATTCAAGGATTTTTTTGTTGGAAGCAGAAAATAAGGTTTGTTTTATTTTGCCTCAACTTTAAAAACTTGGTGTAATTGTTCGAACGGTTGGATCATCTATGTTTTGGTAGCTCTTGGTGTTTTTGAAATGGAAGCGGATTCCGTTCCAGAATGCTTTCTTTGTAAAGCCTTGGTTTCTTTGAACACTCCGTCGCGGTGAGCGGACAGTCCGTCGACCGCTGAGGACAGCAATTTTCGCCCGAGGTGGTTTGTTAAAAAATATAGAAAATGATACTTTCTCTATGTCTGTACGTGCTGTTTATGTATTATGAATATAAACAAAAGGTACTAAAATGGATGCAAATAAATTGTTTGCGTTGATATTATTGTTGGAAGAGGAAGAACAAGAGGAACTGGCAATTGCAACCGTCAAAGTTTCCAATAAGCCAGTGGATGAGTTGTTTTTGTGTCGCGATACAGAAGGTGCCTTTAATATCACTGTGCAGCGGAGGCTTTTTGGAAATGAAACCAAATTTTGGGAGTATTTTAGACTTTCTACAGATCTTTTTGAATTCGTGTTGAGTTTTATAAAGGACATAATTTCCAAGAAACCTAAAAATAAAGTCATGATGTCATCTGTATGTGTGAATTTGTCACTCATTGTTTTAAAATTAATAACAATATAGTCTCCGCACACGCCGACGATTCCGCTGATATCAAACTCAACAGATATCAACCGACTCCTCGCGACAAATCAGCGGCATGACGCCGTCCTGCTCAGCTAAGCGGATTCAAGAAAACCATTCCCATTTAAATACTCTGGTTGGATAAAATCGTCAAAACGC